AAATGTCTTCCACGACGTCCGCATCACCTACCTTCTCAAGTGATGAGGTTTGTTTTCATAGATAATTTTACAGATAGTATTCTCAGGCATAATACTGCCATCTATTGTTCAGTACCGTCTCAGTTTATCTCAACTTGCCGTAGTTACTTTCGAGCGTAATGGGCGATCTCGCAATCGCTAGTTTGTTGGCTCTGCGCTGCCGTAGCGCAAAGATGTCTGCCTCCATGGCTGCGAGACCCGCTCCTATGTAATTATAAATAACGAATTCTAAGGCAACGCAAATATTAAGGTTAAGAGGCTGAGCTCGTAGATGATGATAAATAACATAGTTATGTATAATATATTACATTTCTGACTGCATATCCCTGTAATTATTACACACTGTAGCTTTAAACAATATTAACACTTTTTTTTTGTTTCCAGCTTCTCTTATACAGACATTTAGTCCACAAAGTTTAGCTGCTGCTTTTGATAAAACTAGTTTTTAACTGTTTGTATCTCTAAATGAACAAGAAAAGCAGATCTTTCTAGTTTGATTAATACACTTTTTTTGGTCTTGATCTGTAAAGCTAATATTGGTGTAAAGGGCTGCAAGCTAAGTGAGAGCTATGACCAAATGCTGTTTTTTATATCTGGTGATTAGATCTATTTTTTGATTAATTGATGGATTGATTATTTGATGGAACCATTCCGTTTGTTTAAAATGAGTGCTTGAACTCGCCTGTGATCACCTGTTTCAGGTAAATCCCTTTTTCTTATGTTTTTTGTCATATAATAAATTTAAGTATTAAAAAAAATGCCTCCAGTTTTCTTTATTTTAGAAATGGCTAAATGGTTTTTTATTTGAGATTTTTTTGAACCCTAAGCGATTCTAGAATTGTTTCAGTTTTAAGCCATTTTGACTTGAAGCTTTTGAATTCTGCCAAGTTTAATCAAAAGGGCTAAAACTGATTTCACAAAATAACATCCCAGCCATAATAGCTGTCTGTCTTTCCCAGGGCTCAGTTCTTGGACCGTTTTTAATCATTCCTATCACTACAGCATTCAACATTTTCATGCAGACCTCATTTGTTGCTTTTAAAATTCTACAATTTCTATTCAATCTGCTTTTTGTTTGTTGGTAAGTTATTTGAAGGATCTTAATCACCATCCATAATTAAACATTTAAAGGTGCATATTGGACAGATCATATCATAGATGGCCATGTAAAAAATCTAGGCTATGTTTCTTTCAGTAAGTCTGAGATTGCTTTTAAGCAACATTCCTTCTGGACTAAAGTAATTTGTTCATGCATTAATCTTGACAAAATCTCATGAAATTTGATTCATTGATGTGCTATATTCTGTTACTGGTGGAGAAAACTGTTTTCTCCATTGTCATCTACTGGTCTGTTTTATGTTCAGACACATGTCCTCTTGGTTTACTTCCTTATGCTTTTTTTCCTTTGCGTAGGACGATTTTCAGCTCGAGTCCAAATGAGTCTGATGTTAAGACAATTTAGGAACCCACTAAAGGACAT